GAGTGCTGGTACTCATTTCTGTTAGAGGCTGAGTCGACCCCAGGGCCATAGTGCGGCTGGAAGGATTAGGTCAATTGAAAAAATCCACCTCACCGCATGCCCGTTTAATTGTATAGGATATAGTATTATTATCACTGAAAAAGAGAATAAAGTTTTGTTGTGTCTTATAAATTGTATGAAAAAGGGTATTTTATTTCATACAATCTCTTTTTTAATGTTCGCAACGAAATTTTTAATACTTATGGCCCGTCGCTTTAGAATCATTGTTCTAGAAACTGGAATATTTAGAATTTTATTCATGATAATGTTGACTGAGAACCTGTGCACTCAGCTACTCTGTTCGAAGTATGGCAAGGAAAAATGAAAACATCACCGCCATGCTCATCCCCGTAGCGCAAATTAAATTTCTTCTTCATTTACCAACCGAGCGGTTGGTCACCGTGACACCAGATTGTTATTCTGTGCGAGAGCCGTGATGCAGCTATGATACAAGAACCACAATTCAATGCGTTGTATGCACTACCATGAATTTATCAGTAACCGAATTTTCCGAAACAATAGATGACTGTAGAAACTAATGATCCCTTGTTTACGTTATAAGCATTCAACTGTGAACATGTTCATTTCTGCAAACTAATTTATATTGTCGCTTGAAATCAACAATTGCTTCTACAACTAAACGTATTTGGTTATTATGCATTCTTTATAAATTTAAAATGAAGTTATGTCTGTCCGTCTGTTCACCTGTCCATCTCTCTGTGGACTAGTATCAGGTTCTAAACGATTGTATGGAGTATATGAAAATTCGATGTGAGAGATGTTCGTTAAAAGCTTTTGAACAATTCGCTGATACACAACAATATCTGGTTTACATAAAGCCATAAATGGAACTGCGAACCACGCGGTAGCGTAGATGGTTGATGCACTAATGCTACAAGCCTAAAGGTCGCGGTTCGATTCCCGAGGAAGTAATTGGATTTTTTTTAATTGAGTTTATCCTTCCAGCCGCACTATGGCGCTGGGGTTGACTCAGCCTCTAACAGAAATTACTATCGGGAATCTTCCTGGAAGTTAAATGGCGGCCGACTCGTAAGGCTGACAACCTCACCGTCATCTGTGAACCAATTGTCTAGAGAAAATGTGGCAGCCTCGGCGCCTCACAACACTATGGGTCTCCACGGCCTGTTGCGTTTACCATAAATGGAATTTTCCGCGTATAATTTGAGCCGTTATATGCGTACTATTGGAATTCAATGTGGAATACTTGCGCCGAATATTATTAAAGAATTGTAATCGTCAACCGTATTAATCCACAAGAAAACCTGGTTTCTGTAAGGAATGTTAACAGTAATAGTTATAGTTAACTTGTTTATAAGACTCCGGCATTGGACCTTGTCTTCCGGCAGTTGCATATCATTACATATTCTCACGTGATAGAGTGAAAATACATGGGGTTTTGATTGGTAATTTGATTTACTGGACACCTTAATACGTAATTCATGACTACACATTCAAATTACTATCACACACAGACTAATGTTCTCAGTCATCATCTTCACTGCGTTGTTTGGTAGCGGCTTCCAACAGTGGACGTTCCTCTGCTACCGGGCTCACTTCCCAGCAGGCTGGTGGCAATCTCACCTCTGCTACCTGCTGTCTTAGGACTCTACCTTCTTGACTGATTCGTAAGTCAAAGTCAGGTCAAAGTTGTGTTACGGTCGACGGCCAGTCGGCCAGTCTGTTTCGGTGTCAAGCCCCCTCTGGGGTCCAAGACCAGATTTTTGTTACTGTCAGGTAGTTGCGGTTTTGCTGATGTAGGGTTCCTTCTCTGAACAGAGGATGGGTCTGCGGTTTACAATTGCTGCTGGGCCTCGCCAACTCAGTCATTCTCGGACCCGAGTCCCATTGGACTCCTCCAACCTGGAGGGCCAGGTCCCCTTATTTATCCCCCTCCCCCCAGGCACTGGGTGCCGTTTTCGTCTCCTCCTACTATTCGCAGAGCTACGGTGGTGGTATTCGAACGCGCCTCCTCTCAGGGATGATCGACTGACTAGTAAGTCAGAATCGAAGGCAGTTCCTTCACGACTGGCGGTTTACCGTCAGTCAGTTCGTCTTGGCGTCAATCCCCTTGAGATCCATGACCAGAGAAAAATACCTTCCAACGATTCTTTTATTGTTGCGTCCGTGTCTGTTGCCGCCATCAACTGACGACTACTGTCATTGTCTGGAAACGGCCGTGTTTGCAGGGCCGTTCCGTAGCAACGACTATCTCCGTATGACTCAATTCTGGCTTTCAGCAGATATTCCACAATATTATTTCCTTAAGATCCAGTTTAGTGGTATCCTCTCTGGCGGGTCTAGGTATCCGAAACCGTCCCCCTTTCAGTTTTCCGTCAAAGCTTATAAATGCATTTATCGCCTCTCCGATTCGTGCTACATGCTTCTCCAATACCTTCCTCTCTGACTTGATCACCTTAGTTTTAATTATTTTATTGCTTTATTGTTTCTATGTTCATTTTCTATTAAAGGCATGTCTTGTGCTGTGGAAGCTGCTGTAAGAATATCAATAAAAATTACAAACTTTCAGTTAGGTATGGCGGTTACTGTCTTCTGAGACATGTTCCCATATATTCTGATAGAAATTCACTGCTGCTTCCAACTAATCTTCCTGAGAATGTAAGCAAAAGGTTCCTTCGAAACGTTGATACCTTTCTGTCAGACGGCGTCATATCCCGCAACATCACACTGAGAATCTTATATCTGACTTTCCGATCAGAAATTTAAAAATGTTCCACCGAAAATTTGTTTCACTTACCTTACAAGGTCGCTTCAAGCCTTCAGCCAGTGCTCATTGGAGATAGTTCATTGCCTGTCAGTCTGAGGGGCGGCACCTGTAACAAGAAAGTGTGAACTTGAGGCACGGGCAACAGACCGCACATCGCCGTCAACGNTTGTGTAGTCGGTAAAATTGACTCTAATATTGATTAAATACACAACAGAATGCAAGAAACAATTAAAGTCAACGTATCAGTTGCTGTTCTCCTTTGTCACCTTAACAAAAAGAAATCTGTTACCAAATTTATTCTTTAACTAACGAACTCCATGGAGCCGGCTACTTCATAAGAGGCCACCAGCTGCTATGCTACTCAAGAATTTCCCAGGGCTCACTACCGTGTTCACAAAAGTCCGCCACTTATCCCTATCTTCAGCCAGACAAATCCAATCCATACCACCCCATCCTGTGTCTAAGATCCATTTTAATATTATCCTCTCGCCTATTTAGGTCTTCCTAATAGTCTCTTTCCATTTGGATTTCTCACTAAAAACCTGTATGCACGTCTTCCGTATGCGTGCTACATGCACTTCCCACCTCATCCTTGACTTTATCATTTTACGTAATTTGCATTTAAAGAGGAATATAAATTATGAAGCTCATTATGTAATTTTATCCAGCCTCCTATAATTTCATCCCGCTTCGGTCCAAATATTCTCCTTAGCACCCTGTTCTCAAACACCCTCAGTCTATATGCATTCCTTAATGTCAGAGAGAGCAGATTTCACGTGCTTACAAAACTAAATGCAAGATTATAGTTTTGTATATTTTAATTTTTAAGATTTTGGAGAGCAGACGAGAAGACAAAAGGTTCTGGACTAAATGGTAGCAAGCATTACCCACCCGAATTCAGTCTCCTCTTAATTTCCTCCTGAATGAGGTTTTGATTTGTTATAATCGTTCCAAAATATCTGAACTGTGCCACATATTCAAAACAACCGTTACCTATCTTTATGTCACGATTTTGCCCTCCATTTTGGTGACGAGACAGCAACATATACTTAGTTTTCTCTGTGTTTACTTCTAGACCAACCTCCTTACTTGCGTCAATTAGAGATTCTGTGTACTGTTTTATTATCAGTTCATTGTTGAGTATGAGGCCACTGTATATCATAATATTATCAGAAGCGAAGGGAGGATTCAGCTCCATATTTTAAGTTTAGTTGTCCTTCCACTGCTCATAACTTGATATCAAGTCGCTCTCTGCAGGATGGCGACGGTTGTATAGGGCTCTAACAGTAGAACTGCAGGAAATATGAACCGAGACAACAATAGGTGACAATTGCAGGCGATTACTGTCTAAAGCTATTGTTATCTTAAGGAAGAACATACAACAGAAGCGTCCAGATTGCTATAGCGGCAACGTTGTAGACTTGAATTCAGGAGGCAATGGGTTGGAGTCTCGACAGGGGCAACTTCTATTCTAAGTGAAGTTTTAATTGTTTTATCTCGAGCCAAATGACTCGAACAGGTAAGGACGCTGGCTTTCGAATCATTTCCATTTTCTCGTTCTTGTCTCATCCTACCATCCGAAGTTATATTCTTTGTGTGTATTGTGTTTTCGATGTGATCCGCGCCGAGGAGTTATAAAGAAGACAAATGGGGCAATCCAGTTAGTTGAGTGTTGGCAGATGAGCTCTGCAAGGGAGACTGAGCAGAGATGGCGCTATTGTTGAGTTGACAGTTGAGTGCAGTTCTGCACTAGTGGCTGTGACAAAAGGATCTGACAGGGGGAAGCTCAAGAATCCCCACTGTTAGAAGCCACTGCTAGGGAACGGCTATTGAAGACACTAAGCTGGTAGATACTTAGTGTTTGCAGCAGTGATTTGTAAAGTATGGAGATTAGCGATGCAGTTTCTTGCCAATTCCGAGTGTTGTGTATAGTTAGTGAATAAATCCAGAATCCACTCCATGACACATCTATAGTTACTTACTTATGGAGCTGAGCCTTTCTTGAGGAGAAGCCAAATCTGCATCTACTTAAGAATTTCCCTGCATTTTATGGAATCCGAAGGTTCATTACCGTGTTCACAAGAGCCCTCCACTGTTCCGTATCCTTAGCCAGATCAATCCAATCTGTACCATACCATTCTGTCTCTTTAAGATCCACTTTACTATTGTCCACCAACCTACGCCTTGGTCTTCACAGTGGTCTCTATCCTTCTGGCTTTCCCTCCAATATCCTATATGCATTCTTCTTCTGCCCCATTCTTGCTACATGCCCTGCCTACCTCAACCTCCTCGAATATAGAAACACCCTAAATCGTGACAGTATGAAATAACTACACAGGATGTTTTCTAGTCAGGTAGATAATTGCCGACATTTCGCAGGAATATGTTGTTCCATCTTCAGGGTGTAACTACTACGTACCCCAAGACAGTACTTTTCACAGTCACCACTATGAAAACCTCAGATTTTGCAAATACTATCCTCTGTTCGTCCTGCATGTAACATTTATATGCTGACCGACGGATTTCTTTAATTTCTACGGAATTTTTAGACTCTAAACATTGACTTCCTTATTTATATCAACTTCTGATGCAGAATTGGAAGCCGGAGTAAGGGTGTTTACTAAGCTACAGACTGGAGGACTAGGTTTCATTTCTCGGTAGCGGCAAGTGGTTATTCTCTTCTCCTCCGCTCCCAGACTGACTCTGGATTTCGCCGGGAACCTGACAAAAATAAGCTCATCTGTTTCCGATTTTAATACGTGGAGCTACACCTCCATTCTGCTTATACATCTTCGTGGGGCAATACTTTATTAAACATAAGGACAACTTTGCATTTTATTATCCTGTGAATTGTGTACGTTTATTACTGATTGGAAGATTTAGCTTTGTGATTTAAATTAAGCACCACGACATGAAGGCTGGTGGGGACTGAATATATAGAGCGGTGTATTCCTGACATCGTCATTAGTTGATGGTGAGTGGTCAGCTTCACGCTTCGCTCGCTTTACCTCCATTAGGTGGGCAGCAGAACCGGTCTGGACGCTGTGGAGAAGAGAAATGTCTTTGCTCCTACCGAGACTCGAATTCCAACCCATCGACAGTCGAACTCGTAACCACTCACTATATCGACTGAGCTATCCCGGCGCTGTCAACAACTCAGACTATATTTGCCTACATTTAACAGCCGTATAATTGGGTGCGATAATGCGTAATCAGTTTGATCAATCTAGACGAAAACAAACATGGTCTTATTGACGTTACTAGCCAGACACTTGCCTGTTGTGACCGAAAAATACCATGAAAACAGCCAGGATAGCCTGTGTCTCTGCTGAGATTCGAACCAGTTCTCTCCGGAATGTCACACGCACGTGTATTACCGGTTTAGCCATCTTGCTCGGTATGTGGTTTAAATTACAAAAATATGGCTGAATAGTTGATTTCTGATGCGACATTTTTGACGGTTTTGACTTTCGTGCTTTAAGAAAACAACAAACTCCGTGGTCTGTGGTCCGCATGCGAACTATACCGACCGAGCTACCGCTGCTTGTCGGCGAAGTTAGTGCCAACTTTTGTGGATAGAGGGTGTGTGATTCGATTCGTAGGAAGAAACTTTACAAATATTTTGACACGTAGGTTCGAAGTTAGCAAATTTCGTAGTGTTGTAGGACGTTTCCGGGGAGGAACCTGGGTTGATGGAAACCCTTTGAAATGTAATTAATTAATAAGAATGCCTTTTAAAGTAGTTTCATAATGAACAAACACATCCAGGGTCAAAACCTATCAATAACAATTGGTTGGAGGAACAAACTTCTATTCACAAAGCGCCCGTAAGCTACGACAGTAGATAAACATCTGTTATTTAGAAAGCAAATACATGGTATTTTCATAAAAGGCTAATAGTTGTTACACGCCATGGATCAGATACGGCACTGACACGAATTACGGTCGGCTGTGTCTCGTTCCAGCAATGAAATAACACTTACACATGCAATGTATTTCCTTCTTTGTAAAATTCAATTTGAAGAGACATTTATCATATTTATCATCACGGTAGGATTCGGGATAGCTCAATCGGTATAGCGACGGGGTACGAGCTGGTAGGCAGGGGTTGGACTCCCGACAGGGGTAAGATTTCTCTTCTCCTTATCAGCCACACCGCATCAGGGCCTAACACAGCCTTCTATCCACTGGGTACCGGGGGTAAAGCGGCCGAGGCGTCAAGCTGGCCACTCGACTCTATCTAATGCCGAGGTCAGTGAAGCTATACCTCCACTTCCCCATATTTCTTCATGACGTAATGCTTAATTACCGGCTCGCTCGGAAGCTGGGATCGCAGGTTCGAATCCCACTCAGGGCATTGATGTTTTGCATGCATTTATTCTATGTTTGTGTTGTGCTGTTTTTAGGCAGAGGCCTTGCTACGAGCTGACTACTCGTCCAAGGTGTCCTACCGTCTGTAAAATGATCATGAAACTGAAAATCAGAGGCCAAGGCCCAAGGGGGCTGTAGAGCCAGCGAAAGAGTTGTAGTACTTAATTAATGATGCACAGGAACAATTTTAACATTTATTTATCACTGCTGATAATTAAAAGTTCCATAACTTGTACTCTTCTCCAAGTATAATTGGAATGATCAAGCCAAGGAGGATGGGGTGGGCAGGGCATATATCACTAATGGGGGAGACGAGGAATGCATATAGGATATTGCTGGGAAATCCAGAAGGAAGGAAACCACTGGGAAGACCAAGACATAGGTGGGTGAACAATATTAAAATGAATCTTAGAGAGATAGGATGGGATGGTATTGATTGGATTGGTCTGGCTCAGGATAGGGACCAGTGGAGAGCCCTTGTGAACAAGGTAATGAACATTCGGGTTCCATAAAATGCTGGGGAAATTCTTGAGTAGCTGCAGATTTGGCTTCTCTTCAAGAAGGGGTCAGTTCCATTAGTAAGTACCACGTAGGACCACGCCATAGCTCAAGCGGTTAGTCTCTGTCTTCCCACAGCGGCAGCCCGGGTTCGATCCCGGGTTCTGGTCAAGTGGGATTTGTGGTGGACAACGTGGCGCTGGGGCGGGTTTTCTCCGAATACTTCGGTTTCCCCTG